TGAATTCTGCAGTATAGTTTTAGTTGCAAGGGACTGAGGGCGAGATTGGAATGAATTCTGCAGTATAGTTTCAGGATGCTGATGGAGAGATTGTGTGTGAATTTGGGGCTGGGGGAGGTGGGGAGGGTATTTGTGTGGTTTCTCTAGTTTAGAAAAATAGGGCGGCGGAGGGCGTCGCATTAGGATGGGTGGTCTAGTTTATTTGCAGTAGTCCGAGGAAACGATTTATCTAGATTCTGTACTTTAGGAACATATAGAGAGCTAGGGGTTGTATTCTCTAGTGTAGGGTAGATTCGTTTTGTGGACAGATTTGGGGCCTGATTATCTAATTTAGGTGCAGGGACCTGAGGCAGACATGGTGGATTCTTCTGCCACGTGCCATAGTAATGGTCTTCACTGTTCAATCGCCTGACCATGTCAATGCCTTATATTCATCATCATCTAAGTATGTCTCCTAATGACTCAGTATATATGTCCTCCTCGGTGTGTTCTGTCGCGTGTCTGGTTCCCTATATTGACCTCAGACAGCTAGTCCTCGCTAAGATCTTTTCATGTGCCACTCATCCAGGTCCATTATAAGGTCTGCGACTGTCCATGCCGCCCTACCTCACAGTCACAGATAGCTACAGCCACCCACCTTACCTCACACAAGGCTATCGCCCCTACCTAAACCCACACGAACCTACAGCCAGGCACCTAACCCCGCCACAAGCCTACAACGTCCCACATATACCCCCGTGCAAGCCAACAACTGCCCACCTACCCCCTACAGAAGGGCCTAGACACTACTACTACTACTAGAGACTAGACTCAAGTATCCACTCTTACTATATATACCCATGTTACCAACTATAGCCACTTACCTTGAACCAATCCTACTGCTACCTGTGACGACACTCCCGTCGACTGTTGTTTATTGAACAGTGCTTTTTCCCTTAGACGCGGGTGGGGGTGGGGGTGAAAATGGAAGGGCGGCGGGAGACAGTGGGAGGGAGTATGTATCTCTATGTGTATGTGTATGTGCGTGGGCTTGTTGCTTTCACTGTCACTGTAAATTGCCGTTGTTCCCCTGCAGATATGAGAGCGTGGCTGGCTAAGGGCTGGAAACCAGCAACGAGCATTGCTGCCCGCTGGCAGCCCGTCCTTAGTAAGTAGTAGAAGATCGCAGTGAGGGTGCGGTAGGTGGCGCCACCACCGCAGCAGCGCGTCCGCTTCGCTTTACGCATACGCGCGCTACTAGCAGCAGCGCACTAATCTCACGTCGTCGTCGCTAGGTGGCGCTAGGGTGGAGTTGTGGCGCCGAGTAGCGGGACTCGGGAGAGTGAGAGAGAGGAGAGAAGGGGGCGGCGCACAGGCAACGTTTGAGCGCGCTTCTCGGAGCGTGGTGGACTACATACTCACAGCTTCACTAACTCTCACACGCAGCATCGCTTGCCATCTAACGGGCATGTGTGTGTGTGTGTGTGTGTGTGCGCGCGCGCGTGTGTGTGTTGTGTGTGTGTGTTGCTGTGTGTGTGTGTGTCTTGTGTGTGTGCGTGCGTGCGTGCCGTGTGGTGTGCTGTGCGTGTGTGCCGTGCGTGCGTGGGTGCGTGAGAGAGAGAGAGAGCGTCGCCTGTGAGTCGGAGAGAGAGAGAGGTGCGTAGTGCGGTGGCGTGCGCTGCGTGCATGCGTGAGCGCGCGCGGGTGCGGCCTCTGCGTGCGTGTGTGCGTGCCGTGCGTGCGTCGTGCGTGCGTGTTGCGTGCGTGAGCGCGCGTGCGTGCGTGCGTGCGCGCGCGTGCGTGCGTGCGTGCGTGAGCGCGCGTGTGTGTGACACACGCGTAACCAGCAGCGGCTGCAGCGATGCCGCTTCATAATTGCCCTTCCTGCCGTCATGCCGTCGTGTTCGACGATGACGGCCCGCGTGTAACACTACGGTAGCTAGCGGGCGCAGGTGTGGGTGCAGGTTCAGCTAACTAACCCGCCAGTCGTGCTGTATAACATGTCGATAATAGCATAACATGTCGATAATAGCATAACATGTCGATAATAGTATAACATGTCGATATATAACGTGTCGGTTACGGGTATATAACATGTCGTGCTGTATAACATGTTGATAGTATAACGTGTTGAAGTCAGTACTGTCGTTAACGTATAACATTGACAGGTACACATTCAATAGTACAACATGTTGATAGTATATTACATGCTGTATATATAGTTACATTGGTTGATGTATAACGGTGTCATAGTAATAACATGTTGATAGTTCATAACATGTCCAAATAGTACAAACGATGTTGATAGGTCATAACATGTTGATAGTATAACATGTTGATAGTATAACGTGTCAATAGTACAACATATTGATAGTATAACATGCTGATATATAGTTACATGTCGATGGTATACCGTGTCATAGTATAACATATCAATAGTACAACATGTCAATAGTACAATATTTTGATAGTATAACATGTTGACAGTATAACATGTCAATAGTACAACATGTTGATAGTATAACATGCTGATATATAGTTACATGTTGATGGTATAACGTGTCATAGTATAACATGTTGATAGTATAACATGTCAATAGTACAACATGTTGATAGTATAACATGTTGATAGTATAACATGTCAGTAGTACAACATGTTGATAGTATAACATGCTGATATATATAGTTACATGTCGATGGTATAACATGTCAGTAGTATAACGTGCACACGTGTTTTCTCTGTGCCGTACTGTGTCATGTGTGGTAGAGGTGGCCGTGCGATGTGTAGAGGTTGCTGATGAGCCAAGTGTGTGATTCATCGCTTCCTCGCTGGCTTAGCATGTGTGCTTGGTGTGTGTACCTGAGGTGTCCAGATGTAACGTGAGTGCAGTGGTGGTGTGGTGAGTGAGGTGAGCCATATATACGTGACATGAAGCCTATACTCCATCACACTCTGGATGTAACCTTCATCCATCACATTCCTGATAGGTAACTTCATCCTTCCATCACACCTCGTCAGGTAACTTCAATCCTTCGCATCACACCTGAAGGTAACTTCATATCTCATCACACCTGCGAACTCATTATTAAGCCTCGACAGTAGCTTCATCCTCTCATCACACCTGACAGGTAGCTTCATCCTCCCATCACACCTGACAGGTAGCTTCATCCTCTCATCACACCTGACAGGTAGCTTCATTCTTCCATCACACCTGACAGGTAGCTCATGCCTCCCATCACACCTGACAGGAGCTTCATCCTCTCATCACACCTGACAGGTAGCTTCATCCTCCCATCACACCTGACAGGTAGCTTCATCATCCCATCACACCTGACAGGTAACTTCATCCTCTCATCACACCTGACAGGTAGCTTCATCCTTCCATCACACCTGACAGGTAACTTTATCCTCATCAACACCTGACAGGTTAGCTTCAATCCTTCATCACACCTGACAGGTAGCTGCGATCCTCCATCAACAGTACAGGTAGCTTCATCCTTCCATCACACCTGACAGGTAGGTGCAGTCTTGTTACATCACACCTGACAGGTAAATGCAGACTCGTTACTTCACACCTGACAGGTAAATGCAGACTCGTTACTTCACACCTGACAGGTAAATGCAGACTCGTTACGTCACCTCCCTCTTCCCTTGCCTTGCTACAGGTGACCCCAGCGACACGAGCAGCGGGGTCGGATGGACGGTGGGACCGGCGCACGACAGCGTGGCGCCATCTGGCGACGCGGCGGGCAGCGACGCGAACATGATGGGATGTCGGCGGCGAGTGTCGTCGGCAGAGGCGCCTGCGTTGCCGACGCGATGCCGGTGGGCGTTGTTCCGTCGGTGGCCAGCATTCCTACGTCACAGCAGCAGGTTCCGGTGCGTGTTGAACACCCACCTTGTCCGCCCCACAGCACATAATATATATATATATATATATATATATATATATATATATAATATATAATATACATATATATATACATATACACACATATATATATATACAATAACGTGATAAGCAAGAAGTGTTGCGACATGCATGCATGTGGGGACGCCATATAGTAGTGTATGTATATATATATCTATATATAGTATATGTATATATATATATATATTATATATATACATGTATGGCAAGTCTTGAGCCGAAAGTTTTCAGCCGTTTTTCAGTTTTTTTCTAGCTGACAGTGAAAAGTAATGACATCAACTTCCCACCATTTTATTGTTTACTATAATACGTGCTAATCCGACTATTACACGTGCTAATCCGACTATTACACGTGCTAATCCGACTATTACACGTGCTAATCCTAAAGTCTCACATCACTCCCGCCCCGGATTCAATCCGATCCATTCGTTAACGTGTGAAAAGTACGTTGTATACGTACGTACGCGCAACTCAACGACGAGGGATGTAATACCATAGTATGTAACAATGTAATGATAATGGAACGTCGTCGTACGTGACGTCACCAGACTCACCACGCTTAATTATTACATTGTTACATACTAGTGTGTTACATCCCTCGTCGTTGAGTTGCGCGTACGTACATATACAGCGAGTACACTGTACTTTTCGGCCGGTAACCTGACGCGCCGGGTAACTTGTCGATAGTTTGCCGATTTTTTGCGCGCGCAGGGTCAAAATAATCCGTCGGCGATTTCGCTCGCTAGTTAGCAGAACCTGCTGACCTTTGTTTACATTTTACCGCGCGCTCTCTGTCAAGGTTGCGCGTGTGTTGGGGACGTAGCGAAGCGGATTACTAGCGGATGATACGTGACTCATGTACCGATGATGCAATAGCGAAGAGAGAGAGAGAGACAATAGGGGGAAGCTGAGAGTGTTTTTCGCTGATTTTTGGCTGTCAATCATACTGCTGCAGCTGTAGATGAGTTACCTTCGTAGCGTGGAAGATAGACACGGTCATATAGTATATAGTTGTATAGTAATGTTGATATTATCATCAATTATTAACATTTATCATAATATCAAGAGCTAATAAACACCTAGTTATTATTAATTAAACTTAATTAAACTAAATTAAACTAAGTTAACACTTAGGTATTTATTAGCTCTTGATAATATTATTATAAAAAATAATAATGGAGAATAATTATTAATTCGGCCAATATCACAAATAGTTCATAATCGGATGAATATATAATAATTATTAACTCGACCAATGTCAGTAATAATTCTTAATTAGATGAATATCAAAACTAATTATTAATTAACGTCAATTCTTAATTAGATTGATGGGAATATCAACCTAATAGTAAGTAATTTTCGATCGAATGTCGGTCGATTAAATCGATTAATGTTGAAGTTAATTACAATGCATATACTCCTCCCCTCTCTCTTGATTTTAATTATAACGTGGCGCCCTCTCTCTCTCTCTCTCCGCAGCCCGGGTTCTCCGCAGTGACAGGACTCGGCGCCCCCTATGCATTCCCTCCCAACATGGTGGCGACCTTCCTCGGCCAGCTCACGTCCGGACAGATCGCGATGCCGCCCGGCGTCAGCCAGCAGGGGGCGCCGCCGGCCGTCTACGGCATGCAGTACGCGCCGTACCCGCCGGGCATGGCGCCGCCGCCGCACGCAGCGCAGTCGTTCCCCAGCCTCCCGTCGTCGGTGATGCCCGCCGTCGCCGCGGCAACGGGAGGAGGAGCGCCGGCGATGCCGCCGATGCACAGCCTCCCGCCGCCGCCGTCAACGTCGCTCGCGGGGGCGCCACCGTCGCAGGGCGGCGTCGCCGGCGGCGGCGGAGGACAGCACCCGGGTTCCCAGCACACCCCGCCGGGCCTCGCCATCTCGTCAGCCCTCGCCCAGGCCTCGCAGCCCGCCACGCCGCAGGAGGGCGCGGCCGCCGCGCAGAAACAAGCGAGCATTCCAGCGTCGAACGCGGGAGCGGCCGCCCAGGTGGCGCCGGGCGTCCTGGTCGCCGGCGACAATGGCCAGGTATGTCTCGCTGGCGTCGCCGGGGTTGCCGTGGCTACCCCGGCATCGGCCTCCTCCTCTTTCTCGATGTCACTGTCTCTCGACTTTCCTGCGTGATAACTGTCTCTGTCACACTATCACTGCATGGTGTGGGTGTTTATTTTGTCGAATGCTTGTTTTTCGGACTGTAGTTTTATTTACTGATTTTTCCCCGGTTTTGAAACTCACTCTAGAAGTAATTTAACGACCACTGGTCATGATGTAGCGTGAACGAATAGTGATCGATCGTATCGCGTAGATTCGCATGTCCGTACGTACCTCTAGCATCGGCACTAACCGTAGATCACTCGTTAATTAACTGTCATTTAATTGTATTAGTTAATTGTGTTGTCAGTGCAGTGTAGCGGCTATGCTGTGTGCTCGGTGTGTGTGTCACGTGCTTGCCTTGATCTAGATCAGTGGTTCTGAATCTTTTTGGCCCCACCCAGACAACCTTTTTGACCCCATCAGACGTTCTTGGTCAGTACCGTGACCCCTGAAACAAAAGTGTAAAAAATACAGCTCGATTTATAGAAACATGTCTGCCAATGCTCAGTCAATGGGATGGCTGAAATTGCTTTGCAGCCATCAAGCGATCAAAAAATGTTTCGGGCAAGTGCTTTGGGCTTGTGGGCAACCAAATTTATGAGTCACTTGCACGACCAGGCAAGTGAGGAAAAATATTTTTGTAGCGCCCTGATAATTATATAGAATTTAAATGGATTTGTTTTATTCATGACCCCTTGATGACCCCTGGAAAAATTCCAAACGACCACCATGGGGGTCACGACCCCTAGGTTAAGAACCGCTGATCTAGACTCTTGAAGAAGAGTCGTGATCTAGGCTGGGTCTGACTTGCGGCACGCCACGTATGTCTTGTCCCATGCTCTCGATTTTCTGTTGGCCTTCTTACTCTTCCGTGAGCACGGGACAAGAAACGCGGCAAAATTCCCGCCTCCCCAGGCTGGACATTCTGGTGGCCCATCTGACAATAAATATGGTTATGTGCACACACAGAAATACACATAAACATGCACGCACACATGCTCACACACACACACAGACACACACACACGCACACACACACACACACACACGCGCACGCACGCACCACGGCACACCACACACACACACACACACACACACACACACACACACACACACACACACACACACACACACACACACACACACACACACACCTTCCTAAGGTCAATCACTCATCGTGTTTTGCCATCTGTTTGAAGGTCTACCCCTCCGCAAGAACGCCGCAGTTTTTAAAGCGTCTGCAGGTAAACGCAGGCAGAGACTGCCCACCTCGACGATTCGATAACCCGTACACCGCGCACCGGTGTCTGTCTACGCACAGCTCTAAAACAGTGGTTCTTAACCTTTTTTTGAGTCGTGGACCCCTTTGAGAATCTGCTGAAAGCTACAGACCCCTCCTCGAGAAAAAAAAGGCACATAATCACATAAACACTAAATTTTGCATGTGCCTGGTTCACGGACCCCCTGAAGCCCATCCACGGACCCCAAAGCGGTCCATGGACCACAGGTTAAGAACTCCTGCTCTAGAACTATAGCCCTTCACAGGCCTGTGGCAGAGCGAATCCTCTAGAGCTAGTCTCGACACAGCCCGTGTTTATTAAATTGACTACGTCACGAATTTTCTATGGTAAAATTTGTAAAATGTTTGTTGCCATTTTTTTACATTAAAAGTAACAACTAACGGGACTAAACGTATCGTCAAATTCTTACCTGATAAGATTGTTTCACAACTAGTTAAAAATCAAAAAAACCTGGACGATTTGATATTAGTGTTCCTGACATTCATTGCTTGCTATGGGCTATGTATGCGTCACGAGTGTATGTTCACATCGAACAATATTACAGTAAAATAAGAAGTATAATGTAGCAATTTAACCATAAAAATAGAACAGAATTACTTATATTTTGTGAAAAAGTGGAAATATATTTTTTATTTTTTACTATTTACGGTGACGTAATCACTTTAATGGCAGCCTCTTTTCTCTTCTCTCTCTCTGCGCGCGCATGTGCCGCTTGCTGTTTTGCCACCGTCTGTTTCTTTGTAACACTGCATGCACGACGTTTCCTCTAACATTGTCTTCGTTTTTTGTGTGATGCGCACACGTTGCTAATAAGTTCATAACACTTAATAACGTTTCCTGTAAGACGCTAGCACCGTTGGTGTTAGGTGAAACCAAGAAGCTAAATATAACAAGGAGAGGAGGCGGATTGGCTGTGTGCTTTTCGCCTCAAGGGCGCCATCTATGGACCATAATCAGCTGAAACGGCTGTGCAGACCCGAACCCAGAGACAATAGAACACTGATCTGTTCTAGGCCAATGTGGCCAAATATGGCAAAGATTTGGGCCAGATATGGCGGCGCTTCCTCTCCTTGTTATATTTAGCTCCTTGGGTGAAACATGGTGAAGTCGTGTCATTGTGTGTTACCGCCTGGCGCTTGGGACTTCGTAACTGTATTACTAATAATAATTTCTAACAACGAACGACATCTGAAGTCGTGTTCATTCGGAACGAATGTTATTCCGAGCGTTGTTTCGTTCTTCGTTGCATGAACCGTTCCAATAAACACGGCTTTCGTGTCGAGGAAAAAACGCGGTGACGGAATTTGGGCGTGTACCATTGTGGTTGTACTTGTGGGCGTGGGGCTATAGCTTAGTTTTCGGGTGAGCTAAGGAGGCAGATGGCTTGGCAGTGCAGTCCCCGCTACAGATTATGCTGATAATACGTGCTAGCTTTGGCAGTTTTTTAACGGCTTTTTTTGTCATTACTTCGGATTAAAGTTTCTTTGTAAGATGACCTGCCGATTTTGTATAGCATGATAATATTTTGTAATACGCGCCTGAAGGTGGCAGCACAAGTGCTGGCTATTGCAGCTATAGACTTGGGATTCTAGGATGAAGGAGGTTATAGATAGTGTCTTCTGTGCGTGCGTGCGTGCGTGCGTGCGTGCGTGCGTGCGTGCGTGTGTGCGTGTGGTGGTAGGAAAGAATTGCATCGAGGACTATGTGTGTGCAGTACAACTGGGAGCTACTCGGAATTACGCGCTTAAAATAGTACATGCGCTCGTGCATAATATAGTATTGCAAGAGATAGACAATTCACTAGATAAACTACTAAGATATTATAATATTCTATACACGCTACGTACTCTCCTGCAAGAATCACATCTTCTTACTTCTCTCTCGTGTTAGTGTCGGGTTTTTGTTTTGTTTTGTTTTTAATTACTGTTTTTTCCAGGTATGTTACATACATGTTACAGCCATTACAATACATACTTGTACACATATATATTTAACTTGCATATAATTTGATACGAAGGTATACTTTGTGGTACAGTACACAACTTTATGCTTAATTTACGTTTGCATGTTCGGGAGTGTCGGTTAAGCGTAGGCCTAGCTCACCGTCTTCGTGTGATATCGCATTGCAGCGCATGGCGACGGTGACTCCCCTCGACATCCAGGCTGCCTTCTCCTACTTCACGTCCGAACAACAGCAGCAGCAGCAGCAGCAGCAGCAGAGGTGGATGTCGGAGCAGGCGGGCGTGGCCAGCCCCCAGGTGGCGCCGGCGCTGCCCGGCGTCGCGAACCTGATCGCGGGCAGCGCGCAGGTGCTCATCGGCGGTCAGGCGCCTCCTGGCGGAAGCGGCGGCGGCGGTCAAGCGCCACCTGGCGGCGGCGGCGGTCAGATGCCGCTGACCGTCAGTGCGGGAGGCGGCAGCGTGGTGGAGGATGCGACGAGAGAGGGGTGAGTGTGAGCACGAGGGAGGGAGTTAGAGAGAGAGGGGGAGGGAAGGAGAGAGAGAGGGGAGGGAGGGAGAGAGAGGAGAGGAGGGAGGAGAGAGAGAGAGAGAGAGAGAGAGAGAGAGAGAGAGAGAGAGAGAGAGAGAGAGAGAGAGAGAGAGAGAGAGAGAGAGAGAGAGAGAGAGAGAGAGAGAGAGAGAGAGAGAGAGAGAGAGAGAGAGAGAGAGAGAGAGAGAGAGAGAGAGAGAGAGAGAGAGAGAGAGAGAGAGAGAGAGAGAGAGAGAGAGAGAGAGAGAGAGAGAGAGGAGAGGAGAGAGAGAGAGAGAGA